AAAAACTTCATTAGTGAATATGGAGTTTGCTCTTTGTGAGTTATGATATTGTACGCTTTTTATGTATTCTGAGAATACTTTTGAAAATTCTAAATCAAGGTCGTCTGTTTGAATTACATATTTGCGGTGATTCGGGTTTGGTGAGCTGAATTCTATGGTGTAGATTCCGTATTGTTGTGTCAAATTACATATATCTTTCAGATAGTGATCAATAATTTGTCTTTTGATCTTTACATCTGGGAACTCTGCTTTACATGGGCTGATTCCGGGTTCAAATAAATTTAGTAGTAAATTCTTGCAAAGTATATGCTGTCCTCTATCAGTGGGTGCATCTACGAGGAAGGGGAAGATATCGTCATCATCTGGACTATCTTCACTTGGAGTGTGTGTTTGGCTCATTTTTTCGTTTAATGACTGTTAATAGGTAATTATCGATGTGTCTAATTGGTTGATTCCAGTTATAGAAGTGTACTGGTTTGTGTTTATATTGCTTTTTTATTCGTCTTTTCCCTCTTTTTGATGAATTCGAAGTTGTTTCTGAGTCGGAAAAATATAATTGATCGTGAATGGGGCAATTTTTATCTATAGATTCTTTTAATTTATAAAGTTCGTCTAAATTGCTGGCTTCTGATTCTGAAAATGCGTTTCTATTTTTGGAAAATCTTTTTCGTGTGATTTGTCATTGTTTGGTTATGATTTTCCTTTTTAGTGTTTGTCGTTTTGTTCTAATATATCCAACTGTTTGTGTATGAGGTGTGATTACAAGGTCGTATTTTTTGTTATCTATTTCACAGTTGTGTAAAACGATTGTTTGTTTGTTTCCTAGATTTTTAAATGACATAAGGTTTAGGATGACGGATGCAAAAGTTGTTAGATGATTTCTATTTTCTTAAATTGTTAGTCCTTACGATTTTTTGGTTAGCTTAACCTGGGTCTATTTGTTCAGGGTTGGAGAGAAAAGTATATCGATTCCGAAGAATGATTTTTACTTTCTCGTGGCTAGTATAAGTTAAGGTGTTAACTTACTTAATCTTACTTAAGGGTAGTGACTGTGTTCAAGGGTTGGAGAATAGTAAATCGATCCACAAGGTTCAGGTATAATTAGAACGCGAGTAGTTCGTTAGATACTATTTTAAACTTACTAAGTCTAAGATTTATCCTGGGTCTTGATAAGAGGAGGGTTCAAGTGAAGGATGAATAACCGAAGTTCTTCACTGTTTATCCTAATTTGAATGATTAGTTTTGTTCAAAAATTTCTATTAGTCTTGGGTTTTTTGAAAGGGTTGGATAGTGAATCGACGTTTGAGGTCGTTAGACACTAGCTAAGTGGGTGGGGGAGAACAAAATTGTTCTTTTTGATCCAAGGATAGGCCTTGATGATCAAGTTTTGTAAATTTAATTAAATAGAAAATTAATTAAGATCCAAGGATAAGCCTTGATGATCTGATTTTAAGATTAAGTGGATTTAAGTTTTAAAATGGTTTAAATATATTTAAGAAAGGATTTAGTGTTTTTATGATGTTAGTGAGCTTATGATTGCTGTTATGTTTTAGGTGATGAAGCTGGGACAACTGATGATTTTATGATTACTAACAGTTTATTGTCATGCTACTAATTTTTATTTTGATTTTCAATAAATATTTTCCAAACATGTTTTATATAATACTGCAGAATTTTAGGAAAACGATCTGAGATCTTTTTTATCAATCGTTATTGTATATTAATAGTTTTGTTTAGCGCCTGAGATGATTATGAAGATTGACTTCAAGATTTTATGTTTGCAAATGAAAATCTAAATTCATTGCTAATAAAATTCTAAATATAAAACTCTGTGTTGACTTTTGCCGTACTATCATATAACTATTTGGTAAGTTTCTACTTTGTCGTATGTCGTCTCTGGTTCGAGGTCTAAAAATGTTTTGTCTAAATTCTAATCTATTTTTGGTTAATTCTAAGCTATTAAGGTCTTGTTCGAGACTTATGGTCGCACCAGATGAGTTATGACCGATGTGGTTAACTCATAGAGTAATTTCGGATAGGGTACACCGTCTGCTCGTCACGCTATCTTATTTTCGGCCGGATAGATTCGTGCAACTTCTTAGTCTAATACCGATCCTAATCTTACTCTTATACTATCTAGTCTCAGGTTGTTTAACTAGTCTCTGCTAGGCTCAATAGATCTAGGGTATACTGGTTTATTGCGGCTGCTGAAGTTCCTTTGGAGAGGCAACTAAATTCTAAGTTAAATTCAAATCTCTCTGGTGCTGAAAATACAAGTAATTTCAGCACTTACAAATAAGTGGGTTGTTAGTTAGATGGATCATGATTGGTTAATATTAAATACTTTACAGTGGTAAAATATCTAATTTATCCAATCAAAAAATGTAGTTTAGATCAGGTTCCACCCATCCGGGTTTTACAGAGTTTTTTAGAATAGTCTTTCTGCAATTCAAAGGATGGATGATGGACGTTGGTATTTGGCGAACATCATACTTCTTCTGGGTTCTCTTGTTAGAGAAGTTCCAGGTTCAATCGCTGTGTCTTCTCATGACAACGACTGGGTTTTCGCAACAAACTCAAATCTGATTTCAGAATGGTTGGCTATGACAGGTTTTTCTGTTCCATGTTGAGAACTTCTTTTGGGTTGACCTTGTCTGGGAATGGCGTGGAGATTTTGCGTGGAGGGGATGCCTGGTTACTCGGATCTGTACGTATACTTGAACATCGAGGTGGTCATTATTCTAGTTCAATGAAGTCCTTTTCTGCGAAGTCAAGTCGTACTCTAAATCCTTTGAGTTGTGATTGTGGGCGGCATATTGATTGTGGTTGGCCATTCTTTTTCGAGTGTAGTGGGTTCATTTTGTCTTTGGATGTTCGTCTTTGGTGTTGTATGCTGATCTATATACTGCAAGGTGTAATTTACATTTTATAAAAATTTTATTAGTTTGGTGTTTTAATTATGATTTTGATTAGTTGTTTTCACAAAAGCTTTTTGTTTTAGTTCGGTTATTTTGAAGAGTTACTCACCCTTGAGTACCTCTTATTAAAAATAGAAGTGTGGTCACAAAGCGTGGATGTAGCGCGGTGGGTTAGGCCGGCTATAGAGCATGCTCAGGACGTCCTCTCTGGTGGGTTAGGCCAGGAGTGGGAGTATGATTTCGTGCGGTTTCTGTGAGAGGTCCTGTTATGTGATAATTTTTTTATGTTGGGTTTATTGTGGTTTTTCTTATGTTTCGTTGGTTGTGTCCTTTTTTCAAAAATCAAATTGTTTTTGGTATGGGTTTGTCTTTCGACTTTTTTGTGTTTTATTATTTCTTTGTTTAGCGCCTGAGATGATTATGAAGATTGACTTCAAGATTTTATGTTTGCAAATGAAAATCTAAATTCATTGCTAATAAAATTCTAAATATAAAACTCTGTGTTGACTTTTGCCGTACTATCATATAACTATTTGGTAAGTTTCTACTTTGTCGTATGTCGTCTCTGGTTCGAGGTCTAAAAATGTTTTGTCTAAATTCTAATCTATTTTTGGTTAATTCTAAGCTATTAAGGTCTTGTTCGAGACTTATGGTCGCACCAGATGAGTTATGACCGATGTGGTTAACTCATAGAGTAATTTCGGATAGGGTACACCGTCTGCTCGTCACGCTATCTTATTTTCGGCCGGATAGATTCGTGCAACTTCTTAGTCTAATACCGATCCTAATCTTACTCTTATACTATCTAGTCTCAGGTTGTTTAACTAGTCTCTGCTAGGCTCAATAGATCTAGGGTATACTGGTTTATTGCGGCTGCTGAAGTTCCTTTGGAGAGGCAACTAAATTCTAAGTTAAATTCAAATCTCTCTTGTGCTGAAATTACAAGTAATTTCAGCACTTACAAATAAGTGGGTTGTTAGTTAGATGGATCATGATTGGTTAATATTAAATACTTTACAGTGGTTAAATATCTAATTTATCCAATCATAAAATGTAGTTTAGATCAGGTTCCAGTTCTATGCTTTACAAAAGGTCATTTAAAACAAAAATGCATGCAAACTTGCATGTAAAAATGCATGTAATTTTTGTCTGTAACGTTTTCCAGACTCATTCTTTTTACACACACACACACATAAAACAAAAATCAGAATGCGCTTTTGAGTGAAGATAGAGTTCTTTTTTGTTTCTAGATATTAAGATAGACTTAAGCAAGGTCACAATTTACACACACTTATAACTATTTGAAAACGGAGTTTTTTTTTTAGCTGTACACAGAAAAACTACAGTTTTTTCATATAGTTATGCTAGGATTTCCACACCTTGGCATGGCAAATATCAACATGTAGTTTATCTATGGGATTCTTCCCATTTATCATGTTGGGTTTCTCGTGTGTAAAAATCTTTGGCTTATGTGTTTTAGGTCTAGACAAAAAAACGTAAAGCAAAACTCATTTCATTTAAGGAGGAAATGTTAGTCGCATACTTTCATAGTATTCATACTTTCTGGACCTATGACCTGCTTGCTCAAGAAGGGTGAGATTGTATGATTAGTACTCAAAACTGTTTCATTCGGATATCTTTCTTAAAAATGCAGTAATCTTGCTCGCATCTTTATCATCAGCTTAAGTCACGATCTCGACCCAAGCTTCAAAAATGAACATAGTCGGTAGAGTTGCCGAACAAAATCGAAGTCGAAGTTTTCTTCCGCTGAAGTCGAACAAAGTCGAACAAAATCCAAAACAGTTGAAGCAAGTCCGGTAAAAACGAAAAAAAAACCAAAAATGTGCGGTAAAGTTGAGCGAACTCGAGCAATGTCCGGTAAAGTCAAACAAAGTCAAAAATGGACATCGTTCGACTCTTAAAGTCAAAAACTTACATCGTTCGACACTTAAAGTTGAAAACGCTCATCGTTTGACCGTTTTGACCGAATCATGAGTGGATAACTTCAGTCCGGGCGTTCGAAGCCTAAAGTGGAACACAAAGTGGAATCATACAATTAATACAGAGAGTGTTGCAATGCAGGTAGTGGTGAGATAGAGTTCAGTGAGTTTTTGGAGATGATGGTGGCCCAGATGCACGAGGCAGACGACACCGAGGCTGAAGTGATGCGAATGTTTCACGTCTTCGACAAGGACGGAGACGAGTTCATCGACACTGCTGAACTCAAGTTCGTATCTCATTTATTGTTAATGCCGAACCGTACGCAATATCCTCCGCGTACACAATATGGGGAGCGGCGATGAAGTGGTTACGTCTCCGCCTCTCAATCGATAGGTCAGATGTTCGAGACCCACCGTGATCCGTGCTCGTTGCTTGAGGGCGAGGCAACATTACCCAGCCCCCCAGAAATACCAAAAAAAAATTGCATGTAGTTCTTAAGCAGGGGCACAACAGCAATTCTCCGTGATGAGCTGTACAGCTCGTACGTTAGTTCTTTCCCTCGTGGATGATTGGTCTTAAACCCTTTTCGGCCAAGACTCCGTCGGAAGTTCTTTACCCTATAACCTTTCATTTTGACGAAGGAAAATAAGTTTTTTGAACATTTCAGCTCGTAGAAACTCGTGGCAAAAAAATTAATTTACCTAATAAACGCCGTTTGGACCGATTAAGTTGTTCAATGTCACCGATAATGCCCAATCATTTGGCGTTAGCTATAGAAAAAATTTAATTTACAGTGGAGTTTTGCGATGCGAAATTTTTAAACTCTTACTCAGAACGACGTTTTCTTTCAAAAAATGATAACAGAGCAAAAAATTTAGCCATATATGGTAGAAATTCTAGGACCTTGGTAGAGCACAAAAAACTCTGGATCTTCATGTTAATCATTTCTCTCCCCTCTCCCTATTGCAATAGGGGGGGGGGGGGGGATAGTTTGCAAGGTATAAAATTTGTATATGCTTAACTGTTCAATTTGTTTTTTGTTCAATAGTGGGAGGGGGTATTCAATAGCGGGAGGGGGGTATTAACTGTTCTTTAGTGGGAGGGGGGTATTCGTGAATATTTGACATTTCAGTTTGACTATCAGCATAAATTCAGTTGCTCGTTTCATTCGTGCTTTCAGTCACTTTTCTCAAATTTGGCGCCTTTACCCAGCCGTAATTTTGTCAATTAATTTTTATTGTTGCAGATTGATATTTATGAAGATGGGCGAAAAAGTCTCTGACGAGGAAATCGACCTGATCATTGAAAAGGCAGACAGAGACGGAGATGGGAAAATTGGGTGGGAGGATTTCTACAAGCTCATGATGGACTGAAAACATTTCATTATTTTTTCACTGTAAAGATTCACTTATACTTTTATTTAACAATGACTATAATAGAAAAAAGCCTTCTTCAAATATGACGAAGACTAAAACCATAGAACATGTCGAGTTACGTCCTAAAAAGTTTTTTTTTTCTAAGATGTGACAGTGCAATAGTTGTTTTTCGTCTAATCAGGGACGGATTTAAAATATTCTCGTGAAAGGGCTAATTTTTAAAAAGTTTTCAGTTTATTCTCGAAAAGATTATCTCGAAGTGGGGTCAATTTTTGAAAATTTTTCTAAAAATGTGTCCTAATTTTTTACTATACTGGCCTAAGTTTTTTTCTGAATTCTCCGAAAACCCAAAAAAGACACTTTGTTTGCGCCGCAAAAAAACAAAATTAGAAGTAGATGCCACTTTTCGCGCTTTCTGGTGAGAGCAGTTGCAAAAGGTTCAACCTCCCAAATCCACTTCTAAATTGTCAATTTTGCCCTTAAAACCAAGCATATAAAAAAAGCATATCGAAAATTTCCAAAGAAATAATTGGGGCGTAGCTTATTTGCAAGTCGCTGCAGCATATACTTTATCTCTTCAAGCATTATGAGCTGCAGGGTTAGACAAAGATTAAAATATTAAGGGCTAAGATTATGGTATTATTAGCTGCCCTTCAGGAATAGATACCCACTTTTGGCATATAAGTATCCGTATTCTTTCTCCACTTTAACGATGCGAATATTTCATAAAGAATCAATTCACTTCAGAAATATCGCTCGTTCATTGCAAATGCACATTTTGAAAGCAGCATTTTTAACTATGGTTAGCGCAGTGTCAATCTCCTAGAAGAACTTCTGTTGAAATACATTATGAAAATGATGCGTTATTTTTTATAAAATACAAAAAACGTTTCCATGAAAATTGGCGGTGTTATTTAGCTGCAACAAAACGAAAATCGGGGAAGAAAATAAACGTCGCACAAAATGTCTGTCTTCAAATTCACTATCGCGCTGTATGAATTGACTGTACTCAGACCTCGGTTGAGTTAACCAGTTTGCAGGCATAATTTTTGAAATTGGTTAGGGAATGACTTTTCTTTTTATGCACCCTTTGATGTGAAATTTTATGCGTCTTTCCAAAGCAGCGTCAAGTTCTTTTAACTGTGCCATTTTAACTTGATCTAATCAAGTCGGGTAGATTGTTCACATACTTACAGCAAAAATCGGAGAGGAAGTGGCGGAAATTTAATTTCAGGGGTTCCAGAGCCTAGTGCTGGCATCATATTGCTAAGTGGGTCTTTTAGAGCCCCCAATTTAAAGTGATCGGAGCCGGGGATTAAATCAGCCGTTTCAAATTTGACCCATAAACGCAGATAAGATACATTAATTTTCATCTTCCAACCTGAGACTGACTAACAGTGCCAAAAAGCAAATCCTCAGAATTAAATTACCCCAACTGCGATCGACAAAGGTCATCCAATAACAAATTGACAATCTTGGTAAGTTAATATTTTGCTTGTTTGACTTCTTTTTAATGTAATGATGACTGCTCGTGACAGTGCAAAGCCTTGAACATTCTTACAGCCATATAAGAGTTCTCTGATTTTTTTTTCGGTGATCGTTCAATAGTTTTTTTTGGAACTCAAATTTTACGTTGTGTAACACGTATTAATTGATGAAAATTCATAAATCATCAAATCCAAACCCTCATAACTTACAAAATCGGAGAGAGTACTTATTGACTTTTGCACATTCAAAAGTTTATGCACTCTTTTAAAGTTGAAGCCATAATAGTTCTAATTAAAGAAAAACACATATACTGGAACAAATCAAATAGAAATAAAATCAACAAAAAATTTGAAAAAAAAAATTATGCCCAGAGGTGGGGAACATTGAAAGTTCTTTTTTTCATTGTTTAACGTTTTGTGCGAAATTTATTTTTATTTGGCGTTTCTTAGTCAAAGATTTGCAGTGCATTTTCATCAAATTGGCCTAATTATTCCGACTCTCGAAGAAATGCAGAATAGTTATCCTTGGGGTAGTTTTTTATTCAGTCAGGTTTCGCCGATCGAAATAATTGTGTTTAACAAAAATATTATATACACCAATGAAGATATCGACTCCCTGAGTTCAAATATAAAAAAGATAATTTACCTCCAATCTCTTTTTGTAAAGTTCTCGTGTCAATTTGGCCATGTTCTGAACAAACTTATGCGCGCTGTGAAGACTACTGCAATTTATTGTTTCGACTTTCGAAGAAAGCGAGAAATTTATATGCTTGGGGTGATTTTTTAAATCAATGATGCTCGACCTCTTGATTAGCTTGTGGTCAGTTGAGTCTAGACACCACTGTAGTAACTTGCCATGAGTATAGCTAAAACAGCTTGTTTTATCACCCTGCACTACAAAATCGTTCCAAATTGAAATGAGGCAGCTAATTGGTTTTATTAACTCCATAAACGACTCAAGTCGCAACTACTTTTTGATGTTATCAGCCTAAAATTCATAGTTTTTCAAACAAAAATATTAACAAATTATCCGAGACCAATTAAAGGGCCGTTGCAACATTCAAGGTTTTGCAGTGATACGATCAGTCTTGTTTACGCTCGGAGAACTATCTCGCAAAACGGAACTGTTCCAAAACGAAGTGAGGCAAGCTAATTGCTCGCATTAATTAATTGCACTCATGATATTGTCTAAAAATTATGGCTTTAGGAATATTCTTTACCAACATCTAATTGATACCGATTACGGGGCTTCGCCCTGATACACAAGCAGTCGTTTCTGCAGTTATAAACATCATTATCTTGACAAATATTGATGGAAAATGAAAAAAAAAACTGACTTTTTAATTTGATACTCAATCTAAAAATTTGATGTCTTCGATATTTCGCATATAAAAATTCGCCCTTCTTGTCCTTCTTTTCTCACCTGCATTTTTCTTTACGGAAAAGTTGTTTCTAAAAAAGCAGACTCTGGCAAAATTTGACATGCAGACTAGGAATCTACTCTAAATATAATCCGTTTTCATACATATATTTCTAAAACAACTCGTTACAACATAAGCTTGATGCTTACATTACGATGGCCAGAGAAAAGTCAAAACTTTTTGTTTGTATAAAAACTGGCCCGAATACAAAAATACCGCTTTTTTTCAAAATTCTTAACAACAAACGCAACGGTCAGTTTCAACTGCTCGTCCCCAAAACCACACCAAGATGCTTACACAAAATTGATGCTTACATTAAGATGGCCAGAAAAATAAATCAATTTTTTTTATGATGAAAACTGGCCCGAATACAAAACACCGCTTTTTTCAATTTCTTAACAGCAAACACAACGGTAAGTTTCAACTGTTCGTCCACAAAGCAAATGATATTATGTCTGACGTTTTTTGATTTTAACTATCCCAGCAGTACAAGGCTAATTTCAATTAATTGAAGCAGCATAAATCCTTATAGCATATTTTTAAAGCGTGGGATGACAATCAATGCTTGGGAGGACTTAAACAAAAAATTGGTTGTTCTAGTAGATAATTAAATTGTTTTGATTGAGATTTTTGAAGGTTAAAAAAACTTTTTGCAGTACACTTTATACGGAAAAAATTAGGAAATCATTTTCGCCAGATGCTTTGTTGGCTAGCGAGCTATGCGTACCTCGGCGCTTCGCGCCTATTATAGTATGGCGCTTGTACTTCAATTTGTGTCCCAATTCTTTCCAGCTCAAACATAACTAAACTTCAATCTATTATCAGCTGATTTCATATTCCTCCATATTGTTCCGAGTTTCGAAGAAAGTGCAGAACAATTATGCTTGTTGTGGTTTTTTCTAATTCAGTCAGTTTTCGACTAATTAACAAAGTGTACACCATCTGGAAGATATTGTTTGCGTGGGCTCAAATTAAAAATATATATATTTTAATTGTTTATTGCAAAATAACAGGGGTTTGAAAATTGCAAATTTTACCCAATTGGGATAATTAGCGCGCGATAAACTGCGTTCTTATAACACGTGTTAGTGGCAAATAATTGCGTTCCAAATTGAGCTGAGGTCAGCAAATTGGTCCTTTTAACACAATACGAGCCACTTAACACACACTTTCTATTTTAAATAACACGTGGGAAGATTAAATAAAAAAAAAACGAAAAAAACTTTAAGTCTTTGCACTGATATACGAGCAATGTTGTTGAACTAAATGAGTGAAATCTAATGGATTTCTTTGAGAACTGTGCAAGTTGATTTTTTTGCAAAATTTGAATTTCAATTTTTTAAACACTGAATTTTAATTGGTTATTGAGCCTAAATGTTCTTTTCGCATCCTTCAGTTTCTACATCACGAGGGTTTCTACCGCCTCTAACTATGAATCTCTCAGTTGTAAACAGACCATTCTATGAATACAGCCGCTAGAGCTGCTAGCAGAGTAGAGAATATTAATCATAAGTTTCCTAAGCAAACAAGAAAAACATTCGTTTTTATGTACGAACTAAAAATTTTACAATCACACTTTGAGGGTAATTTTTTGTTTCCTGCTTCATGCCAAATTTTTCATGATCAATTGAAAAAAAGAAAGTAAGCCTAAGTTGTTCAAATCCTCCAGTGTTAGTTGTTCTCAGGGTCAAATGTGGTCTCAAATGAAAATTTTTTCGGTCGTGATTCGGATTGCAAAAAATAGTAGTTTTCTTGGCATCGAGAAGAATTTTTACGGTTTTCAAATTGATTGACGTACAATTTACTAGTGATTCAATGAGAATCCTATGTATGTTTATTTTCATCAAAAACAAATCCTGGTTTCCTATCTGAACTTTCGCAATTCGAACAATAATTTGGCAATTCTTTTGCCTAACTTATTTCAAAAAATTTTCAATTTGAAAACCAGAAACATCAGAAAAAATGAATTAGTAGGCAATTTTTCATTTATTTTTTTGCTTAGTAAACTGTTTTCTTCAATCATTGCGGTCAAAACTTCTGGTGCTACGTGCATAGCAGCCGGTCATCTTTTATGTTGCGCATGTGGTTTTTTGTTTGTTTAATCATGTTGCTTATTTAAAACTCCTTTTGACCAAATTTATCCATTTTTAAAGCAGTATATATATTTTACATAAAAAACTTAGCAAAGCTTTCAAAATAACTTTCATTGTAAGTATAGCTGCTATGAAAATTGAACAAATTGCCGTGTATCTACAGAGTATTTTTTATTTGTCAATAATGTTTAGTCGTGCAAAATTGGGATATGACTGTCGAAACCAATTTAACTATATTGAGACTAGATAAGTGATTCAAAAAACTGCAGTAAACATAAGATATTTGCCAAAATTAGTTCCGACTTAATAAAAGGCAGTCGAAACGTTCAGGATTTTACCCTGGTTTAAGCACTCTCTCTCGTTAACTATTTCAGATCACCTTATCTAGATAGAGAGTGAGTGCAATGTTCCTTTCGACTTTTAAAGTTTTCGGCGAAGTGCGCATCATTTAAGAAAGTAAGTTTAATTACCAATTCAACTTTTTAGAGGTGCTTAAGCTAACCGATTTGAATGCTAATCAGCAAAATGTCCCAAAATTCCGTGACTGCTCAAGTTGGGATTTTGTTTTGTTTCAGCGAGCAGTAACTGTTTTACAAAGATTGTTGCCTTTACTCGCCAACGACTTAATTTCTATCTTTTACTTTTTCTGCTCTTTTTTTTAAATTTCTTTAGTAAATAGCACTCAAATGCATGCTCATGGTTCCCAAAAACAACGTTCCAATAAGTGCCAAAAAATATAGTTGGAAAAAGCCACAACTGTTTAATTAAACGTTATTAAACGTTAAGATTACGTTTTTAAATTACAATTTCAGAATAGTTAAATTGTTGGTCGCTAAAAATTTGAGTTATGAGACTATAAGTGACTGATTATTTGTTCAGTTTGGGAGCTAACTTTTGGCTACTAAATGTGAAAAATGTTTCTTCATTTTTGAAAATCTTTCTTTATGTTTTGGCACTCTTGTGAGTTAGGACCGATGGGTATAACTCATAGAGTAATTTCGGATAGGGTACACCGTCTGCTCGTCACGCTATCTAATTTTCGGCCGGATAGATTCGTGCAACTTCTTAGTCTAATACCGATCCTAATCTTACTCTTATACTATCTAGTCTCAGGTTGTTTAACTAGTCTCTGCTAGGCTCAATAGATCTAGGGTATACTGGTTTATTGCGGTTGCTGAAGTCTTCTTGGAGAGTCAACTAATTTCTAAGTTAAATTCAATTCTCTCTGGTGCTGAAATTACAAGTAATTTCAGCACTTACAAATAAGTGGATTGTTAGTCAGATGGATCATGATTGGTTAATATTAAATACTTTACATTGGTAAAATATCTAATTTATCCAATCATAAAATGTAGTTTAGATCAGGTTCCACCCATCCGGGTTTTACAGAGTTTTTTAGAATAGTCTTTCTGCAATTCAAAGGATGGATGATGGACGTTGGTATTTGGCGAACATCTTATTTCTTCTGGGTTTTCTT